AGAAGGGGCCATGGTTGTTGAGGATAGCTGGGGATTGGTGTGTTTCATTTTCTCACATGATCCTCAACAACTTAATATGATTAGATTCTCCCTGGGGTATGTGTGTGAATATACAAATAATTTTCGCTCATCCCCTCAAGAGCAACCTATAAACATGCGCGAGTACTTCCGGTTATACTGGGATGCTCTTTTAGGAGGTTGTCCCGAAGGAGAACCCCGTCAGGGCCCCCCACTAAATTACCCTCTGCCGTGTCCGATACTGCTAATCTGCCTTAGCTTCTTTTCCTGCAGCTCCTCAAAGGGATTTTCTCTGTCCTCTGTTGGTGATGGTTCCCTCGCAGGAGTCTCAGGGGAATTCCAGGGCGCTGCTGGGTACCTCTCTTCCCAAAGGGAAGGAGTTCCCTTCTGCAGCGAAGGGAACTGCGCTATCAGGAAGGCCCATAGCGGAGGGGAGGGTTCCCACCCTCTTCACCTGCTTGTTTCAGGAGCCTTGCTTCTCCAGTCGCATCCCAAAAACTCAATTACAAGCCATGTGTGGTAACATTTATTTAATACAACTATTTAGTATCCATTAAATGAACTAATCTTCAAAAAAAGTCACTATCTCTTAAAAAATATTATCACTTTAACATGACTGTCTGCATCTTCAGTATTCCGAGGTCTATGTAACTAATCATTTGAGCAAAGCTTTGCTTGGGAACAACATTGTAAAAGGCTGGTCTTTAATTTAGAAAAGTAGGCTAGGGTACCCTTGTATAATTCTCTGAAGGGGAGATCTTTTATTATCCTATGAAATGCCTCTAACTTTGTGCTATTAAAAATGTGAAAAATACTTTTGACTTTGGACTATATAATATTGTAAAAATTTGCATTTGGGCATAAAACATAGACTTAAAATGAGCTGACCTAAGAAGACCCACAGCTGAACTGTTTTACTTCTCCTGGCGTTTATTTGCCTCACAGCGTATTTTTTTCCTCCTTGCCCTATTCTTGCTTTCTCAATTCTGTAAATTCTGACAATGTAGAAGATTTGTAATACCCTTGTGGCAATGCAGGCACCTGCAGTATTTGAAGGAAGAAGCGATCTGAAACATCGTACTTGGTAGGTAATGCCAACTCTTAAAATCTTTTATTTAAAAAAAAAAAAAAAGATAATAGGGGTCTCCACATGACTAGAAAATCCAATTGCCTTAATTAACTTCCAATCCTGTCACACATTGAACCTGGTGGGTATCTTATTTCCTGGGAGAAATCTTACTTTTCTACTTTTTCAAAACTGGTTATGAGTAAAGTCCAGACAGAAATGGTTTGTCTTTCAACATACTGAGAAGGAAAGAGACAGGCTTCGTCGCCTTGGGTGGAAATATCTGGGTTCGATTGATGTCTCTTTAGGGCGAATCTGGGTTTCCCAGGTCCTGATCATAAATGCTCTCGTTTTTCTTTGTGTCTGCTAAACTGTTTGGACACTTTTAAATGCATTAGGTGAATGGGGTCATTACCAGTTCTCTGCTCAAGTTTGTGTTGTGCACTTAGAGCTAAACTCAGTGATAGCGTCCTCATTTTTGGTAGAATTTAAGAGTCTCAAGCTCTACCGACTGAGCTAGCCGGGCTCGCCTTTTTGGTAGAATTTAGATTCGATCCTGTATCTATTCCAAAATGAAATCTAAAATGACATTATTGATGACAGGGATGAGCAGGAAATAGAATGGGATACCAAATAATTCTATAAATCACTTAGATGTCAAAGGAGTATCGTTATTTCGCTTGCACCCTTTGAATTATCTTTTACCTCTCTGTCATACTTTGGTCTGTTTCCCTTAGAACTGAGGCAAGGTAGACTGTTATATTCCATGAGGACAGATTTTTAATAAATGACCATGATGCAAAATATATATATCAATAAAGTAATACAGTAATATTTCAACAAAACAATGACACAATAATAGCTCCTTATTTTCCTTGGCGTTTTTAAGTTTATGAAATATTTAAATAATGCATGTGTATATTATCCATACATATTAATATATTTTGTAAATGTAATATTGGACCATTACAGCAAAACATCAGGAAGGATACTGTCTTTATATCCATCTTTTTTTTTTTTTAAAGATTTTATTTATTTATTTGACAGGGAGATAGAGAGATCACAAGTAGGCAGAGAGGCAGGCAGATGGGGAGAGGGAAGCAGGTTCCCTGCTCGATTCCAGGACACTGGGATCATGACCTGAGCCAAAGGCAGAGGCTTAACCCACTGAGATGCCCAGGTGCCCCTGCTTTACTTTTAAACATATTCTTCACCCAATATTTAGGAATAAATTATTATGCTATTATAGTTGGAAACATTAAAAGGGGGACCTTTAATCTTTTCACAACATCATTATTGCAGACTGCGGTTCTGGCTGACAAGTATATGTAAATCGTTGATACATATTGTATTTTGATATATGCAAGGCAAACAATTTTAGACTAGATAGTTCGAGAAGTTTTCTATAAAATAGCACTTACAAACAATTACATTAAAATATTCTTTTTTTTTTTTTTAGATTTTATTTATTTATTTGACAGAGATGCAGAGAGAGGGGATCACAAGCAGGGGGAGTGGGAGAGGGAGAAGCAAACTTTCCTCTGAGCTGAGCAGGGAGCCCAATGTGGGCCTCAATCCCACGACCCTGGGATCATGACCTGAACCGAAGGGAGTCGCTTAACGACTGACCCACGCAGGCGCCCTAAAATATTCTTGTCTGGTGAATTTTAATACCTTTTTTGTTTTTCCCTCTCAACACTCTTCATTTTTTTACAGATAGGTGTTTCTTTTGTAACTCAACGATCAATTGCGCATATTCCTACTAATGAGAAACTACAGTTTAAACCTATGTGTTGTCAAGTGCAGTGGAGGTAGAATCTTCAGTTACGGTGTTTGATTTACAGTATTTTAAACATTTTTAAAAAGATTTTATTTATTTTTTTGACAGACAGAGATCACAAGTAGGCAGAGAAATAGGCACAGAGAGAGAGAGGAGGAAGCAGGCTCCCCACAGAGCAGAGAGCCCGATGTGGGGCTCGATCCCAGGACCCTGAGATCATGACCTGAGCAGAAGGCAGAGGCTTTAACCCACTGAGACACCCAGGTGCCCCTAGTTTAAACATTTTGATCAAATATTTCTGTTCTTTGTTCTCTACGTTTCATCTGTATGAAATCGGCATCCTAATAGGACGAAGTGTGATATCCCAGTTACACTGTTTGCCATCCAGCTTTGTACTCTAGAAATCAGATGAACAAGGGAACAGAACCCTACTGTAGGCAGAAAGCGTTTAAAAGCAGCAGTAAGGAAATACAGCTTCTTCGTGATCCTCATGCACTATTTTTAGTAAATACTTAGGCACTGTACTAATGTCTTTGTTTTGTGAAATTTGCTGTCAAAACCTACTTAATTGCTCTTGAAGTTGTCTCCTGATTTCATTTAAATGCTGCTCTGACGTTTTGGTATGACAGTTCAGGCTTTATCTACAACCAAGTGTGTATTCCCATGTTCCGCTAAAAGATAATCAGCTCTTAAAGCCGTATTATTAAGATAACATGAAAAATTGTGTTTTACTTTATCTCGTGGTGGAACAGTAATCCTTAACATGTGAGTGTCTGTGTTCACTTCAGGGTTCATGTCGAACTGTGTCCACATTTCCCAAACTGTGTTGCGTAACTCAGAGAACCCACAATTCACGCGTTCCACATGATAGTCATAAATATTCCCGAGACCGGATCTTTGGTGAAATTGGTTTGTGAAACACTGTATAGGCTGTATCTCCTTTTGAGAGTTTTACAGAGGCCATTTGCATTTTAAAGGCTCTGAGAGCCCTTTCAGTAAAATAATAATACTGATGATGCTGTGGGACCAAATCTGTTTTCTAAACATTTTGGGAAACTCCATGCACAATGAACTACTTGGTTGAATTTATTAAGGGATAATGTTACACTGTTTTGTCAGTTACGGTAATACCATAGAGTGAGTTTGTCTTGCTCTTACTCCCAAAGTAAGCTCTGTATTAGGTGAGGGTTTGTATGGTCCTGGCCTGAACTTCACCGTGACAGACTGGAAACCAAGTTATTAACGAGCTCTTCTTACCACTCCCCAGTATCCACAAAACATTTATTTTTATTTCTTTCTTTCCATTTTGCCTCTTTCCTCAATCTTTTAAATCCCATGTGAGCAAAAACCTGCTGTATCTTGACCCAATCCACCACTCTTTAGGAAGAAGTTTTAGTAACTCCCTGTCTACCTCCTTTTCTGGCTTCACCCTTAGCTCTGCCTCACGGACACAGCCCTCCTTCAACATCCTAGCCTTCTGAATCTTTCAGGAAGCTCCTCTTTCTGTCCCGTGTCCAGTCCAAACTTACTCCCAGTTTTCTGTCATTTGGAAGAAGATACACATGTGCACCAAAATGTAAATAACCTTCTCCTCTGAGACATGTTGACATGATAATAGGGAGCAGTCCTTACTTCTCATCTTGCAGAATATAATTCCAGCTTTCCACAGCAAGAAGGTGCTTTCAGTTCAATTCTGTTCCATAGTGAACCCCGTGGTAGACCGGGGAGGGCTGGATCACTTTTACACGGTGAGCTTTCATGGGTGACTGGTAAAGAGGATACAGATAGCCATTGTCTTTATTTTGAGAAACGAGGCTAGTACCAAGGAAAAATTTCTTTGTGTTAACGCCCATGGAAATGTGCCTTTCCTTTGGTGTGTAAATGTGATTTTGATGGCCTTGCATGAAATGTGTTTCAGGTTTGTCATGCTCTACAGATGTGCTTGCCAACCCCTGGCCATTGTGTTTTAGCCACCACTATTTTTTTTTTTTTTTTAAAAACATTCCTCCAATACCTCTGGACCATTCTGTATTCTACTGTCTGTCTCCATAGCACTGATCAGTGATACTGTATGTATTTGACTGGTCTCAAAGATGGCTACCTCAGCAGTAAGCCAATGCCTGTCTTTGCCCACAGGGGTGCGTCTTGACAGAGTACGTGGAGGTCGGCAGAAGTACAAGCGCAGAATAGATGCGGAGAACAGCCCCTACCTGAACCCTCAGCTGGTTCAGCCAGCCAAAAAGCCATGTAAGTACAGCAGACATGTCTGGCTTTCCAACACACGGAATCCTCCCAGTTGGCTCTATGTGTATCGGTTTTGGCATGCCCATCCCTACTGACTCCAAGGAGACTTGTCTTTGTTGGGGGGCCATGGCTCTGTTCCCAAGGATTGCCTTTGAGGAGCAACAGCTACTCGGCTAATTATCTTGTTATTATTATTATTTTTTTTCCTATGGGTTTTCTCTCCCTTACCCTTTTTCACCAAGTCATTTTGGAGAAGCACAAGCCTATTAAGGCACAGCTTATATAATGCGAATTTTACATTTACTGGTTTACATTTACATTTACTGGTTATCTTTATTTTCAGAGGTACATAAAATGGATCATACTGTAATCATTAGTTCACTGGAGCTGTTACTTTCAGATTTCACAAGAAAGTGATTTTTGTAGTTTTCACTAACTAAATGAGTTTGACTGCTCAACCTCCCAATGAAAATACATTAGGAGCCTCATTAATTTGACGCTATAGAAGGTTAACACACTAGCTAGCAATAGATTAAAATAAGAAGAGGCCCTGCTGGTAACAAGCATAGGTTGATGGTTCTATCTCAGATGCCCTTATGGGCATCATGAATTGTTTTTAAAGAGTCCGTGGTTTTATAATGCCAGATTGCAGTTGGAAAGGATGATGGCTACATTACTAAAACTCAAGCCCCATTCTCTTTGTCATGAACTAGAAAGAGTTGGAATGTAGATTGAGGCAATAACTGCATCCCATTTTCTGAAAAGTCAGTTCGTAGTTCTACTGCAACAGAACTAGCCTTTCAGGATATTTATGCACAGAGTTTGTACGAGGCACTGAGAAGAAGTGCTTGATGGAATCAGTTCCCGCGTTTAGCCCCCCCCGCCCCCCTCCCCCTGTCTTGGAAGACACAACCAGCACCTACCAGAGGAGGGTGCATCCTAGGGGTTGTAGAAGAGACTCGGGCAATGGTTGATCTGCTTTCAAGGGAAGAGAAAGCGTCCGCTTCTAATTCCGACTCTCCAGGAGGGGTCGCTGCTGTGCATCATACATGTGAGCATATGGGGATCTGTTAAATAAATAAAACAGACCCTGAACTGTAAATGAAAGGACATTTTAGCTATGTCAAAGGAAAAACAACCAGTTTTACATAAAATTAAAGCTTAAGTGAACATATGGCATAGTTTCCTTTCGCCTTTCCAAAAAACATTATGTTGATTATACCTTCAATTGTCCAATCTGGCATCTTCTCCTCAGCCTGCATAAGCTGTTTGGCATTCTGCAAATACAATCTAGGACTGCATTAAGCAGATTTTGTACATTATAATAAAAAACTTTCTGATAATACAATAAAACGCAATAAACACTAATGCTTAATTTCATTAGAGGTTAGTTTTCCTAGACTCAGTATAATACACACTGCCCATATCTCATTCATTTTACATGAGCATTGACTGAAACCATTGATAATTTCCTCTCCTGAGAGAAAAATGATCCCTGGCCTGGTTTACGTGTCCATTTGATGGAGGGACATCTATGGTTTTCGGCGTAAACCTGAGAAATTGGGAAGTGGCTCGTCAAGTACCTTCCAGAAGATTATAGCAATTTCAGTGAGCTCCATTTGTCTGAGATAAAGAGGCCTCCTAATAAATCATTACTCATTATCTCAAGGCCTCTGTGTTAATTTTCCTTAGTCCATCCAATTAGTGTGTTTTTGTAACAAACATTTATAAAACTTAATTTTCAGATCCTGTCAGATAAGTGTCAAGAGGCTGTGCCTGGGCTTTGCTGAGAAAGTGGCTGAGGGAGATTTCTGGGCCCTGACCGATTGTTTGTGTACTACAAAAGCCCAAGAATGGAAATTGGGTTCTATTGATTCTAATTAGAGAAACATTAAATAAGATTTACCTAGAAACGGTCCTGTCGGCTATTCTGTTTTCTGAATGATGGGAATTTCTTAGCTTCCAGCAGATTTCTCCGACCCTTCCGGTCAAGTATCCATTGATTTGGGTCAAACAGGTAACCATCTTCCCAGGACAAAAAGATCCAGAACCAGGATTTCCTTTGGGCACATTTGTGTGCCCTTTATTAAATATTGCATTTCGTCTAATCCTGACAAACTCGCGGGTGCTGACAGGTTTTGTTGCATTGACAGAGTGATGAAAGTTGAAACTTTTCCAAGCGTAACTAAAAATACAGGGTGTTGTTTCCATAGCATATATAAGAAACAAATGCCATTCTTCACAGATCCTACAAATTAAAAAAAAAAAGAATCTGTATTTAATTTTATTTTTTCCCTACAAAATATGATGTTTGGGAGTATTTCCTCCCAAATCTGCATTTTCAGTTTGGTGATAATTGAATATTGCAGTCAATGAATGGTTATCTGTTGATTATTTGCAATAAATGTAATTCATATAGCAGCCATAGTAATAAAGTGTTAAAATGTCAGAAAAATGGCTAATTATAGCTTGGATAATCTCCTTGTCATTTTGTTAAAGAAGACTAAAAGGAATGCTATGTTTTCAGTTCTAGGGTATGTGCGGTCTTTTCGTTTTGGGTTGAAAAAGTTAAAAACTTAGAATGAAAGGAAAATTATCTAGTAAATGCAGAGAGAACTGGCTTTACTCACAAAAGTCCCATTTAATGCCCTGGTTTGCTAGAGTAATAGTACACAGAACATTGAAATATTTGGGTTTATCCATACACATTTGTATCTCTTCACTTAGAAGAAAGTATAAAATCTAAAGCTACACATAGAAATTGAGAATAGGGCCAACAAGAAAAATCATTCCGTTAGCAAGCCTTTACAACCCTTCCATAAACTCTCACATGCCCCTAAGCAATAAAACACATTTGATGTGATGCTTTCCATTTGTCTCTAGTGTTTATTTTATGAAGGATTTTAAGAACATATATCACAAATTTCAGACAGATAAATCTGAACCAGAGAATGAGCTAAAGACAACAGATGAAAATAAAGGATTAAAGAATTAGACACTCCAAAGAGAAAATATGGTAACATTTAGGTAGGAGTGTTTTCCTGGAAACAGATATTGGCTATATTTGAAGGATTGGCTGAGTGTAAGGGGAGGGAGAGAAAGGAGAGAAATTCCTATTTAATGCATCCCACAGAGATAGAGTTATATAGTCAGTAATTCACGCAGGCAGAAGGGCTCTGACCTTTGCTCTTCTTTGAAGGAATTAAGACAATTAATGACTTTCGTGCCCATTATGACTATGGGCGTTGGTAGTTCTTTGCCTTCCGCATTATATTCTATATTTCAGTGGCTGACTGTGGATTTTTAGTTTAAACATGTTGTATACTATTGAATCTGCTTCCCCAAATCCCACTTAAGAATCAAAGAGCAAACCCGGAAAGCATCTAACTTCTCTTACCTGTTTGCTATAAAAAATTTCATTACGGGACAGATGCTTCATTCCAGCAAAGGCAGGTAGAGCAGAGAAGAAGAAAGGAATGCATTCTCTTACAACTGCGGTGGCTTCTTTCTTCCTCTGCGTTTTCCTGAACACTGTTTACTCTGCATATATTGAACCAGAAACAGAGTATCTGGGGTTTGTTGTAGGCAATTGGAATTATTTGTCAAAACGCAGCGGACGTTAGGGTTTGGGAAAGAGGGATAGTGCTGCTAGTGATCTTGTAGTGCTCTCGTCTGATCCTGCAGATAACAAGATTGTCTCACATTTGTTGGTGGCTGAACCAGAGAAGATCTATGCCATGCCTGACCCTACTGTCCCTGACAGTGACATCAAAGCTCTCACCACCCTGTGCGACTTGGCCGACCGGGAATTGGTGGTTATCATTGGATGGGCGAAGCACATTCCAGGTACATTTTCTGAAAAGAAAAATAAATAAATAAAAATGAAACAGAAGAGGTTGCAATAATTCCCTAATATGTATATTTAAGCAAATCTAAAAATTCCTCATTGCTATGCTTTTTTTAACCTTCACGTGTGTTTTTAATCATACTTCATTTTGAGCTTTGCTTAACCTTCCCGGAACCATAAGCCTTTCTCTATCCACCTTGAACTCTGTTTTTCTGTTTTTGTTTTTCATAGGCAGTGGTACTATTGCCAACATAAGGTAAAGAGAACATAACTTTAAAAAAAAAAAAGTGTCTTTCTCCCTCTTAAAATTCTGAGCTTTCTCTTAAGGAAATACTTCTCTTTTTTCTTTTCACTTTAAAAAATGTCTTTGTCAGCACACTTCTAACATGCCTTTTTTTTCCTTTTAAGACTCCCTCACGTGTTTTCATGGTGGCTGTTCACACCGACTTGCTCCTTCTATTTGCCAGCACAGCTTTGGTTGACAATTAGGTATTTACCATGAATTTATACACAAGTTGTAAAAATCAATATTAAATGGACATCATAAGCTTTCTCATACGGTAACTTAAACGTAGTATTTTAAAGTACCCTATTACTTTTCTTTCTTGGCCCATGCCAATAACATCAGTAAACATACCTGGTCTCAAGGGTTGAGAATTTTGGCAGTCTGCCTGAATTATTTGTGTTTGTTTGAACTTCGATCTTCAAGTAGTTGGTAAACAAGTTTTTGAACGATGAGCGGTGTTTTTCTGGTACGGTTAACTTCCTTCTGTCTCCTTAAACTAGTTTGTCTTTATGCTTTGAATGCTACAGTAATTTCTTTAATCAAATTGATGGAAGTCCCTTTCCCAGCCCACACTGAAACCAATTTCTTGGTCATGATACGCCAGCTATGTTGCTAACAGTCGTAACGAACTGTCAGGCGATATCGCAGTGAAGCTAATTTGAAGTCATTAGGTGTGCCGCGTTCAGACGACAATTTGTTACAGTGGTTAGGAACACAGCTGACATTTCTGAATGGCTTTGTTCGGTGCAGTTCTAGATGAGGCCAAGCAAATTGTAAACTAATTTAAACATCACTCTGTATTATACCAGCTACTTTGTCTTACACCGTTTGCTAATAAAGCACCCCAAATTAAGTCAAAACTAGTTAAAGAGGTGAGCTTGAGTGTGTTCTTTAGAAGATACTTAACGAGGGTTACTACATGTATGAGAAGGATGCGAATTTGATCGTGTGGATAGTTGATACTACATTTCGATTGTAATCACATCTATGGGACTTCTAAAAAAGGGAAAAAAGAAAGGATATGCTAAACGATGTTAAGACATTTGGGAATTGTGGCAGTGGGAACTGTCAGAATTTGCTTAAATAACGTATGAAAACTTACCGAGATGAAGGTAGGTATAGGCCTGAAGTTTTTAGAGCAGAAGAAAATTAGTATTTGTTGAAGTATCCACACTTCTTTAGATAGTCAATATATATCATTTGTATTTATATATTTCATTACTTTATGTGTATAGACATGTACACACATGCATGTACATACTCACATATTTTATTTTTTTTAATTTTTTAAAAAGATTTTATTTGTAAGTAATCTTTACACCCAGTGTGGGGCTCAAACCAACAACCCTGAGATCAAGAGTTGTACCCTCTACTGACTGAGCCAGCTAAGCACCTCTATACTCACATATTTAAAATGTCATTAGTCTGGGGTGCCTGGGTGGTTCAGTCGGTTGGTTAAGCATCCAGCCTGATTTTGGCTCAGGTCATGATCTGGGGGTTGTGAGAATGAGCCTTGCATTGGGCTCTCTGCTGGGTGAGGAGCATGCTTAAGATTCTCTCTTCCCCTCTCCCTCGCTCTCCTTTCTCCTCCTCTTTCTCTGTTTCCCTCCCTTCCCTTTCTTAAAAATAAAAAAGTAAAAAGGACAAAAAATATCCTTATTCTAACTCAGGGTTTCTCAGCCTTGACACTATTGATACCGGGTCCATTCATCCTTTGTTGTGGGGACTGTCCTATTCCTGTTAGCGTGTTCAGCAAGCAGCATCCTGGGTTTCTATCACTAGCACCCTTGAGCTGTGACAAACAAAAATGTCTTTAGATATGGACATGTGTCCTCTGGTGGGCAGAACCGTGCCCATCTTCCCCGACCGAGAACTCTTGTTTTAATCCAGGAATCCAGTCCTATTATCTTTAATTCAAAGACAGGGACATTTGAGGCATAAGAGGTAAAGTCCCCTACACCAATTCACAAATGTGTCTGACATCTTCAAAGCCACACTGTTTCCTGGAGTAGAAGCAGGATACTGCTCAGTGGACTGCATTTGAAAGAGGCGCTTCAGAGTAAGAGTGATGGTAGTGTTGGCGTTACTGATAACAACAGCATGAGACACCGTGTCGCTATGACTGGAAACCACCCATTATTTTACGGAGCTCTGCGCAAGTTCTCCCTGAATTAAGAGACCTCTTAAGCCAGTAATTTTAATTTTGCTCAGACAATCCCGTAATAATGACCAATGATAGTCAACAACTCCTTACCGCACTCTCCGGTAAGGAAACGTCCGTGATAAATTTGTGGGTCCAGTTGTGCGTCTAAGTAGAAATGTCAGCTCACAAAGGAACCTGTCACAGTAAAGGGGCTCTGGTGACTTTTGTGAAGACAGCAACTTTAAATAACTATGAGTAACAGCATTTCCAGTGGTGGAAACAATTACTATACGATTATGTGTTCAGTCTTAAGCTGAGGCTTAGAATTGGTGGAGACTGACGTGATTCTCTCTCCACAGCAAATGCCAGAGGAGGTCACTGTGGAGTGATGATTCACAGCTCTGGTGTTCGAGATACCCTCAGGGTGTTTAAATGATTACAAGGAGTGGCTTGGCTTTTCAGAAAAGGATTAGCCAAACAAGAATTAGCTGGAATTCTTTTAAATTATAAGCGTGCCATACCCTGTTTTGAGGTAGAGGAAGAGGGTGCTCTGATGTCAAGAGTGCTGGTATACCTGGGCTTCGGGGAGGTTGGGTGCAGCAGCGATTTCAAGCATAGGATGGGGGTTGGGGGGGGGAGACAAAGAGAATATAAAGATTAAGGTCACATTTCTGCCTTGATAGAAGTAAAATCATGTTCTTGATAACATGACCCAGTGCTCATAACTGGGGTCAGAGCCTGAATTAACGTCAAGTCAGAACTGAAATTTCACCCGTCTTTGTCTTAACTTCAAAACTCTTTGTGTAAAGCTTCTGTTAAAATTAAAGTGAAATCTTTCTTTAGTACTAAAATGTAAAGCCTTTGCTCTCTCTATGCTGCTCTCAGTTTGTGTCATCACACACAGACACATACACACACACACACACACACAGAGTTCAAAAATTAAGTTTAACATCTCAGACAAGATCCGTAGCCTCTCTGCACCGCTAGGAAGGGATTCTTCTATCCTTGCTTTTGCTACATAAGAAAGTGCAGAATTCAACAAAAGAAAATATTGAAGGAAAATACATATGGCGTGTGTGTTTTTTTTTTTTTTTATCAGTAAATCGAATTAGTTGACTTACTTTAATAAATCACATAAATGGAAAAGTGTGTTCTTAGGAAACATGACCATACTTTATCTATAGAAGAAAAAAGATCACAAGGGCTTTAGAAAATGCTTGACTTTAGTTGGAAGAGCATAAGGGCACAAGAACAGATGATGGTGCCCTAATAGCCCTTTTTAAGAATGACAGGGCCCCGCCATTAGCATCCTTTTATATCCTTGGAAATTGCTCATGCCTCGCTTTTCTGGTTCCTATCTGCCTGACTCTTTTTTATTTCTCTTTCAATTTCGTCCGCGCTCGGATAAGCGCATGCTAACACAATATGATTGAGCTGTAAAATGGAACGCTGTCGCCTCTAATCTCTTTTATGTAGATACGGAGTTACCGCACACTCCACTTCATTCTCTCCCATTGTTGGCCTTTTTCAGAATGGGCTGCCCAGTAATGGAGGCTCCCTCAAATATTAGAGCTAGGTTTCACGGGGTGTGATAAGACGATTATCAGCCCCACAGTCAGATCTATTATTGTTCTTTGGCATTGATTAAAATATTATTATGGACTGTTACTTTGTTAGCAAAATGCAGAAATGTGCTGAGTCAGACAGTGCTTAAAAAAGCATCGCCCATATTAGCTGACCTATATAAGTGGTTTAAATAGATAATGGGTCTCATCTGACAGTTTACTTTTAAAAGAATAGAAGGGTATTTGAACAATTAAGTGAATGAATGTATGAATGTATTTTAGAAATTTTTTTTTTTCCTTTATCAGAGATGGCCGGTTTTCAGGCAGGCTTGTTTCTTTTTAACACGACATATTAAACCCTTGCTGGCTAAAGCGGAGGCCTCTGTGTCAGTTTGGGCCCCCTTAGTCACATTTATAAAATGGCATCTTCTGGAATGATATCAAAACAGGAAAAAAAAAACAAACTCTACAATTTTTATTCATCCTCAGTGTAGGCAGGAACTATTAAGCTCTAAAGGAAAACCACACTAGGAAGACAGTGTGATAGAACCGTCTTTATGTGTAGTTTATTCATGTGGGAAACAGAAATCTAAAGTATAGAAACCAGTATTTTTCATTTACACTGAAACGTTTTTTGGTAAAAACGTGCAGTTGGAAGAACGTATCAAAAGTTGCTCGTTGGGGCACCTGGGTGGCTCAGTGGGTTAAGCCTCTGTCTTTGGCTCAGGTCATGATCTCAGGGTCCTGGGATCGAGCCCCACATCAGGCTTTCTGCTCAGCAGGGAGCCTGCTTCCTCCCCTCTCTCTCTCTCTACCTGCTTCTCTGCCTACTTGTGATCTCTGTCTGTCAAATAAATAAATAAAATCTTAAAAAAAAAAAATAAAAAGTTGCTCGTTGAGTTGGATTTTTTTTATTTTTCTCAACAGAAGTATTGGGACTTTTCAAGAAGTGGCAGAAATCTTTATTTAAAGAACACATATAAACTCTTTCTGCATTAGAAT